AGCTATCCGGCCCGTGTCTGTGATTGTAATGCGAAAAATCCAGGGCACGGGAACTAAATCTAATGGAAGTGTCAATGCTTCCACTAAAAAAAAAAGAAACGAAAGTGAGCAGGTCCTTAGATTCCAGCTACTAACCTTAAATAATTACAACTGCTGGTTACGCTAAACTGCCAGCGTCTGGACATACAGTGACAAGGATACATCTTCATGGAGAATTAATGTTTGAAGTAGAAAGGCTGCTTTCGTTCATGTTAAGGACGTATGTTTGTCAGTGATGGGACTGCATAGTGTACGCGGGATTCGACCCCCAACAGTCCACCGTGCTACTACGCCAGCACTAATTCAGCAGCGTGTTCACATGTATACACATGGCCCGGAATCCAGGACACAAGCTTGCCTTGATCAGATCCACTACTTATTTTAGGTGCATATCCACATGCAAAGAGTTCGCCTACGTCACTGACTTTGGAAATTGCGAATATCTTCAAATAAGGCAACAACGCAACCAGGAATCTCGAAACATTCGATGGTCGTAAAAACTGTAAGAGGCAGAGGGCGACAGCCTGACACGAGTACGAGATCATGCACACCTCGCCCGCAGGACACCATTCGCGCACATACAAACTTCATGGATAATACACGCGCCATAAGCAACAGGCTTTTCTGGGGATAAACAACTTAACACGTGTTCCTATGTAGTACCTACGCATAGGGAGAGCTTTACGGCGCAAATGGGAGAAAGCTTCCCCATATCCAAGTTACCCGAATGTATTCAGTGCGAAACGCACTACTCGTCCTATCCGCAACCTTGGAGGGTGGATACAACCATGTAGTCTATAGGCAAGCTGCCTATAGCCACGATGACCAGCCAACGCGTGTTTCATGGCTGCATACAAAATTTGTTGCGTCAAAACGTGTGGTACTCAAACAACATAAGAACGTACAAAGTTTTCGCATCGGGAGTGTCAACGTCTTAGATATCTAATCTCTAGTTTTCATTTTTAAAGCGACATTAACTGCTGGAGGTGTTCGCAGAATAAAAATACTGTCGATACCAGTCGCGCTAACACCTTGATAAAGCGCATTTTTTACTAGTTGGTGACTACTTACATAGGTTAAAGATGTGAAACACACGCACCTATGCAGAGTAACCTTTCAATGTGTCTGTGTGTTGTGTACCTTCCACAAAAGTGTAAAAACAGCTTGCTGTGTGCCAGCTAGCTGGAAAAGAAGAATAAAAAAATTTTTGCTCTAATGCAAAGAAAAAGAAATATCACAGCATTCGACAAATAAAGTTTATGTTCTTCTATCACAGCACAAAGTACGGAGTGAAGGATGATGCGTGGGGCGAAGCGTCCGTCAGTGCTTCCGTTCATCTGTTCGTTCTTGTTTCCGTCCATGCGTTCGTTCGTGCGTCCGTTCATGCGTACATCTGTGTGTCCGTTCATCTGTAAGTTCATTCATGCGTCCGTCCTTGAGTCCGTACGTCCAGCATATACCCGGAGCACAGCATAGTATGGACGGACGAGCGGATGGACGCACAGACGCACGGAAAGACGAATGGACGCATGGACGGACGAACGCAGCAACGGTCGTACAGACAGATGAACGCAGGGACAGACAAACTCACGGACGATCAGATGGATGGTTGGACGGATGAAAAGACGGGCGTACAGACGGACAGGTGCATGAACAGACGCACGGACGAATGTAGGACAAACGCAGCGATTGACGAACGCATGAATGTGCAGATGGACGCATGGACGGACGCACCGATGAACGCACAGGTGGACAGGCACACGGACGGGTAGACGGACGAACGCACAGATGGACGGACGGATGCACATACGGACGGAAGGACCGAAACATGAACGAACTGACCCACACTTCGCCCCTCTCTTTATCATTCACTCTGGAGATAAGCTGTGACACCGTTTTATTGACTTGCAATGCAATGAAACTGCCTACTACGATTACAACGACTACAATAGCACGGGACATACAACCATCGTCGTAAGTGGCTTTGCCCCTAAAAGAAATAGTTGAAGGCACCGGTAGCAACAAACACACAACGTAGGCGCACATCTTCGCGCCATTGCAGCTTGTGTATAATAATCGAATAAGAACAACGCATTTTGTGCCATCTAAAATGAATGAGTATGATACGCATGTACACAGCATGTACATGAACGTGTATTGCACGGGATGCACTGGTGATCGCAATTAAGCCCAATTGCGGATCAAATTTATTTACATGAATTGGTGCTCTTATGCACCTGGCGTAAGAGAGTCACTATACCAGGCTTGATCATGATTGAGAGTGCCCGTGTGACAGTGCTATAAGGTTTATCTCTCGAAATACTGAACTGGATTAACTTAAGTTGCCCAAACACGAACGGTCCGTGGGTCACCACTTGTCGCGCTCCATCTTTACGAGTCACAAGAGTCGCCTTTTCGAATCTTTCAGGAAACTTAACATCTTGTAGCCATCTCGCGAGTAATTTATGCACTGCGACACGCAACAATCGGGCATTTTGCACGAGAAAACGTTGCGCAAGTGTCTCACTCATCAGCCACGCTGAGACAGGGGTAGCAGAATGGCGGACGCGGATCAGAAGGCGACACTTACCCCTTCAAAGAGTGGGTCCACCCTATCGAGGAACCGTAGCTTTTACTAACTCTTTAACCCCCCCCCCCCCCATCCTTAACACAAGCGTTTCCATCCCACTCCGTTGAAGTTTTTACCCCTAAATATGAGAAGATCTCGCTGCTAGAGTTCCGCAACTCATTGGAATTGATTCGGAGCCTGACATAATTCAGAATCAGTCATCTGGTAAGGTAGTCACGCTGTCTGGCGAATGAGTTCCAGTAGTTTCAGCATGAAGACCAGCTGGTGTTCGATGAAGACGAAATGATGGTTATTGGAAGAAGTCCTGATAACTGGAAACTAGTTCGTCCAGTAGAAAGGCTAACTAAAAGCGCGGGCAGCGATCGCAGGTCGTAGTCATATTTTTCTCCCTTAGACAAGCCTGTTACGAGCCGCGTCGGTGGCCACAGCGGACCCGGTAGGTAGCGTCGGAGCTGGGTAGGTGGTCGTCATTCCGCAGGCCACGGGGACGTTCAGAACTCCAGAAAGCTGAAGCAAAGGGACCGGTGTAGAGGAAAACTTAACAAGACGTTTATTTGCAACATGTCGGACAGTAACGTCTGAACGACGACTCGTCTTGCGACTCTCTCCTGTTTCCTTCTACTGGGCTGCTCCCGCTGCCTCGCCGTGCAGTTCCGAAGATAGGGGTGGAATGTCACTTCGGGGAACCAACCACGCATGGAGAGCACAACACAAGACAAGTATCGCTTCACGCACGTGGCAGACGCATGTGGCACACGCGCGGGGACTGGAAGGCGACCACGCAAGAGGAATTCACGGCAGTCGCTCCTGTAGCACACAACCGACCTTCCGCACATTCCAGAGCGGCCCGCTCATAGCCACTGCCTTACAGGCGAAGCGCACAGACGAGACAAGGACAGCCGGTGCAGGTGACAACCCGTACCCCATAAAAGAATGTTCGAGATGACGGGAAGTCACGCTTGAGGGCAGCTGGCCCAAAGGACTTCGTTACTGCTTTGTAACAGCTTCCCCGGCGGCCGGCGTAACCTCGATTTAGAAAGGTCATCCACCTTTGTGGGCAGAGGTCGATAAAGACAATGCTGGTGTGCTGAAGCCGTGGACACCTCGATGCGGCTCTGCTGCATTCCTCTGCCACCCCCGGTGATCTCGAGCCTCCGGTAGCGTCGTCCAAAAAACGGAGAAAGACTCCCGCTCTGCTGGCCAACATTCCTTCTCTGAAGACAGCACCTGTGTCCACCATGCGAGAAACACAACCGCCAAGCAGGCAAGCGCCTATACTCTCTTCCTGAGACCCACCAGGCTTTTACTTCATCCAAAACGACCTGTTTTTCATTACTATAGCAGCAGCAATTCCTAGAACTCAACCTGAAATAGGCTGCTCAAATTCACAAACACGTGTTGTGATAATTGATTGATTGATTGATTTGTGGGGTTTAACGTCCCAAAACCACCATTTGATTATGAGAGACGCCGTAGTAGAAGGCTCCGGAAATTTCGATCACCTGGGGTTCTTTAACGTGCACCCAAATCTGAGCACACGGGCCTACAACATTTCCGCCTCCATCGGAAATGCAGCCGCCGCAGCCAGGATTTGAACCCGCGACTTGCGGGTCAGCAGCTGAGTACCTTATCCACTAGACCACCGCGGCGGGGCCACGTGTTGTGATAAAGCACAAGTACAAAAATGCAATTGTAACCAGTCACACAACACAAAAATGGAACCTAAATACCCAAGCCAGATTACAAGACGCCATCAAGATCCCTAGAAACAACGACTTAAGCCGTCAGCGTTGCCATTCAATTTGCCTCTCTTGTAATGAATTTCGAAAGAGTATTGTTGCGATAGCAAGCTCCAGCCAAGTAGCCGGCCGTTCTTAGGCGACATCGTTTGGAAGCTCGTGAGGGGACAGTGGTCCGTCTCGATAATAAAATCTGATCTCACGAGATAGGATGCGCGCTTCTGAACCGCCCATACAACACAGGCACATTCTTTCTCTGAAGCGCTATACTATATACTATATACTATATAAGGGAGGAAGCGCTATACGCGTCCTCCCTTAATGCTAGTTTGCGGCTTGCATATAGCACGGGATGTTCCTCTCCTGCGTCGTTTGTCATTTCTCTTACACAATACGACGCCCGTGCCGCGGTCACTTGCATCGCACTGAACCACGATGGGTCTGCGTAGTCGGGGGCTTGAAGTACAGGTTGGCTCACGAGCGCATTTTTCAACGCTAAGAATGCCCTCGCTTTCTTTTCGTCCCACTCGAGGATCTGAGGTTCGGTTTCTCTAAGAGCAGTCAGTAAGCGGGCTGGCAAGCTCTGAATAACGGAGAATGTATTGCTGGTAATGTAACCCTGCCAATCCTAGGAACGTCCGCACATCCGTTTTTGTCCGAGGCTGCGGAAAATTATTAACTGCCGCCACTTTGACATCGGAAGGTCTGCGGTGGCCTTGCCCGACTATGTGACCCAGGTAAGTAACCTCTGTTCAGCCAAGTTGGCACTTTCGAGCTTCACGGTCAGACCTGCTTCGCGGAAACATCGAAGCACTGCTCGCAAGTGGGTGAGATATTCTGACCATGACCCTGAAAATACTGCTACATCATCAAGATAAGGCAGGGCAAACCCCTCTAAACTCCGCAATACTTTGTCCATGAGAGCCGCGAAACAGTAGGTGGCACTCTTTAAGCCAAAGCTACACACCTTAGGGCGGTGTGTTCCTATGGGAGAAATAAACACCGCATATCTGCTGGCCCTTTCGGTCAGGGGCACCTGCCAATATCCCCGAACGAGGTCGAAGGTAGAGATGTACATAGCTCTGCTTACTGCTTCAATTCTTTCATCCATATTTGGTATAGGGTAGGTCTGATCCTTCGTTATAAGATTTAACCTGTAGTAATCAATGCATAGTCGCGAATCTTTCCAGGGACCTCCGCCAATATAAGCGGATATGTATAATCGCTTTCACAAGCTTCAATCACATCAAGCTCGAGCATTCTTTTAATCTCGGCCTCAATAATGGCGCGCTGACGCCGCGACACTCGATACGCCTTTCACCGCACGGGCTGAGTAGCCGTAAGCTCTATGTCATGCACTTCCAAATTTGTTTGGCCCAGTTTCTCCGAGAACATGTTCTCATATTTTATCAGGAGGCTTTCTAGGTCACGCTTCTCGTTATCTGTGAGCTCAGCTACCTCAACCATGGCCTTGAGTGTTTAACCAGCGTTATCCTTCTTTCCTTCCGCTCCCGAAAAGGGGAAATCTAGTGGTGGCTCTTCAGGCACGTTTACCGCTATGTTTACGACAATCTCTCTCTCTCTCTCTCTCGATACGGTTTGAGCAGATTGCTGTGGTAGATCTGCTGCGTCTTACCTCTACCTGGCACCCTTACCAAATAGTTTGTGTCGGACAGCTTTTGAATGACTTCAGCCGGACCTTCCCATTGGATATCTCGCTTATTCTTTTGTGAAGGTTTCAGCCGCATTACTTGATCTCCAGCTTCGAACCGGCGTGATCTTGCCGACCTGTTGTAGTAGTGTGTGGCCCGAGCCTGTGCCTTTGTCATCTCATCCCCTGCCAGCTCCTGTGCTCTATGCAACCTCTCTAGCAGAGTTAGCACACATTCAACCAGCTGTAGGGTCCTCCGCTCGACCGTCCCATGGCTCACAAAGAATACGGAGTGGGGATCGCAGAGAGCGACCGTAGACCAATTCTGTCGGGGTAAATTCAGTGGCTTCACGAGGTGCAGTCCTGAGCGCAAACATGGTTGCTGGCAAGCACACATCCCAGTCGACTGTGCGCTCGAAGCAGAGTGCTCGAAGGACGCATTTCATTACCGATTGTAACTTTTCTACTGGTATTGAGTGGGGTTGATACACCGAGCTGTAGATTATTCGGATTCCACGTTTCTCTAAGAAAGTTGTAGTCAGTGCGCTCATGAAAACGGTCCCTTGATCGGACTGTATTTCAGCAGGAGAACCCATGCGTGCGAAAATAGACAACAGCGCGTTTATTACTTCTACCGAGCTCAGTTGCTTTAAAGGCACTGCCTCAGGAAACTTAGTTGCGGGACAAATTACTGTTAAGACATGACGGTAACCGATTGTTCTTGTTTAAAGAGACCCTACTGTGTCGATCACGAGTCGACGAAAAGGCTCAGTGATCAGCAGCACGAGCTTCATTGGGGCACGAACCTTATCCCCTGGGTTTCCTACACGCTGGCAGGTGTCGCAGGTTTTGACAAAATTCCCTATTTCCCGGAAACACCCCGCCAAATATTTCTGCAGCAGGCGATCCTTCGTTTCTTTGAACCCCAAGTGACCCGATCATGAGCTACCGTGAGCTAAGTGTAAACGTTAATGGCAGTAACGTTCCGGTACTGCTAACTGATCAAACTGCACCCGCCTGCGATCTAGCTACTTACGATAAAGTTTCCCGGCCCTGTTTTGGTACATCACGTTTTTCTTAGAAATACCGTCGTTACTCTGACTCCTTATATTTTTAAAAGTGAGGTCTGCTCTTTGCTGCGCTATCAGGGACGATCGATCCACTCCCAGCAAAGTCTGCAGGCTACTAGATGCAGGAGTAATCCATTCCTCACAGACACTTCCAGACTTAAGAGGGTCTTCCTCGTTTTCATCCGCGCCTTCATCGCTCACTTGATCAGTGCTTGGTGTGGTAATCGTGTCTACCGTGTTCGCGGGCTCTCCATCCCCGGCTTTCTCGGTGATTATCGGGTGAACATCGAGCGGTGCGGCTCTAGTTGCGAGTTCTCGTGCCTTTGAGCGAGTGAGCGTGCACGCAACCTCCTCCCCGTACGCTAGGTTCTTCTGTGCTAGCAACCAATCAGATCTGTTTGAAAACAAGTATGCATACTGCATTGGCAAATAAGCAGATACCAGCAGCCTCTGTGTGCTATGCGCCAAAGGGGCCCTCGATACATACCTTAGCAATCGGAAGGCATACGCTTGATGATTCCACTGCTTGTTTAATCCAAGCGCACTCTTCTGTGAAATGTTCAGCTTCAACATACGAGGGATGGAACGCGTCCATTGTCGCTGCCGAATCCCGCAGCACGCGACACTCTTTTCCATTTACTATCAGCTCTCTGATATATGGCTCCAGCAGTCGCATCTTTTCACCCTCGCTGTTGACTGAGAGGCAAACAACATTTGCACTCTTTTAGGCGGCCGCAATGTGACCTGGCTTGTGGCATTTATATCACACAAGTGGTCGCCTCTTTTCAAACACACTATTTCCGTGCTTTTCCTCAACCGTGGTCTCATTATTTACCTCCCGCTGATTTTCGGGATCAGTTTTGCGCTCTCAATTCTCTTGGACTGATTGTCCCCTCCACCCATTTGCCTTTTTGATCTGGCCCTTCCGCTGGGGAATTTCTCTTCTATCAAGCGCGCGGCGGCAAACAAAATCCTCCGCTAGCTTCGCGGCCCTCGACACAGTGGTTACCTCCTCCCTCTCTTGCACCCAGAGCCTAACGTCTTGGGGCAAACGACGGTAAAACTGCTCGAGTCCGAAGCACTCCGCGATTTTCTCTTTATGCTCGAGCACCTTAGCTTCTTTGAGCCACTCCTTCATATTAGACATTAACTTGTATGCGAAATCAGCTTACGACTCGTCTTTCTGCTTTACGGCGTTCCGGAACTTCTGGCTGAATGCTTCCGCTGAAAATCTATACCTCTTTGGCAGGCTCGACTTAACTTGGTCGTAATCATCTGCTTCCTCTTTTGTCAAGCGGGCAATTACCTCGGCAGCCTCATAGGGTAGTAGGGTAAGCAAGCACTGCGGCCAGATCGTTTTGGTAACACCTGCCTTTCGCATAAGCGCTCGAAATTTTTCAAGAACAGACCCATGTCTTCTCCGGAGCGGTAAGGTTGCATTAGGTCTTTCATCTTGAACGACTTCCGTTCTACTCCGCTAGACACGTGGCTACCTTCACAACTACCTCGAACCGTGAGCAGCTCGATTTCAAGGCACTTCATCTCAAGATCTCTTTCTGCTGCTTCGCGTATGAGCCTCTCATTTCTCTCTTCAGCTTTGCGCCTTTCACGTTCGTCTATCAGCTCTAGACACTCTGAGAACTCGTCGTCGTCTGCGTTAATGTTCTCAATAGCCTGGATAATCTCTGGCTTTCTCATTTGTTCACGAACATCCAAACCCAAACTTTTAGCTAACTCTAGCGAAAGTGGTTTTTTTAGTGCCTTCAGATTCATGGTTACTGCAAGTGCTGCTAACTTCACTACTACTAGGACGCTACGTTCCCATGCACAGGTCAACGTAGAGTAGTTATGCAAATTTACCACCTTTCCTACAAAACTCTAGATAAAGCCGGGTAAAATCTCAGTGAAGAAAAGTCAAGCACTCACAACACCCTGCAGCCATGATCTCGGCGGAGACGATCCCGATGCTGGCCCGAGCTTGTTGCGACTTAGCGTGAGCAGAATCCCGTCGCTGCCATCGAGTTGTTACGAGCCGCGTTGGTGGCCGCAGTGGACCCAGTAGGTAGCGTGGAGCTGGGTGGTGGTCGTCATTCCGCAGGCCACGGGGACGTTCAATCAATCAATCAATCAATCAATCAATCAATCAATCAATCAATCAATCAATCAATCAATCAATCAATCAATCAATCAATCAATCAATCAACCAATCAATCAATCGAATCAATCAAAGAACGTTATTTTCACCAAAAACAAAAACATTTACGGTGAAAAAAGGTGGCCGGGAAAAAAGCTGTCCAATGACAGCTTGACAAACCCTAGCCACCCATCGGCGGCGAAACCACAGGGTACAGCACCTGATGAAAGTGGGAAAAAATGCATATTAATAGTCGCTAAACAGTTACAAATTGATATCAGAGTGCATTCACTACGAGTGCAGGTGCACTACAAGGTCAATTGTACCTAATTATACACTTGCTAAGGATAAATAACAAGAAAAAAAACGAAAAAAAACGAAAAGAAAACAATGACAAAAACAAAACAAACAGTAAAACAAAGCCACAGAAGAAGAAAAAACAAAAAATGGAAAGAAATATATTACGCACTTCAAGTACATTAATATGTACAATGCGCAGTTATGTACTAATAGCATGTGCATATAATTTATATATATATATATATATATATATATATATATATATATATATATATATATACATTAGATGAATAATGAAGGAAAAAGGAAAACACGAAACTTGCGAAACACGTGTATACTCCAATATTGGAAAAGGCAAGTTTGTTATGTGAACATACTTCTAATTTCGTTTTTTTGTGTGGATTAAAACATCTGTTCCTTGCGTTTCGAAATAGTTCAACGTTTTTGGGACGATGTGTTGGGTGCGTTGTGTTTCATAGTGTGTGCTTGAGAATGGAACGTGCCAAGGCGGTTGATATCGGACATAATAAGAAATTGCGTTTTGTGTAAGGTTCGCGAGTTTAAGAAGTGTGTCCGATTTCCATAGTGCTGCCTTTTTGTAGCAGCACAGCAATTTTTAAGTATAGAGATCTGATGTTTTCACAACTTGATGCTGTTTAAAAACAGGGGCGGTTTGTTCTAGAAAGGGAGCACTTGAAATAGGTCGAACCATTTTCTTTTGTAACATGCTCAGTTTTGACATATTAAGGGCTGTAGTTTTACTCCATACCAGGAAGCAGTAACATATGTGGGAATTAAAAAGCGCATCGTAAAGTAATTTCTTTATTTTAGCTGGTAGTATGTGTCGATGACGGCTAATTAGTCCTACAGACTTAGCCAATTTCAGCGTAACCGCGTTTACCTGGTCATTCCATGACATGTGCTCGTTGAAGATGATGAACCTCCAAAAGCTGAGGCAAAGGGACCGGAGTAGAGTAAAACTTAACAAGACGTTTATTTGCAACATGTCAGACAGTAACGTCCGAACGACGACTCTTCTCGCGACTCTCTCTTGTATGCTTCTGGCGGGCTGCTCCCGCTGCCTTGCCATGCAGTTCCGAAGATAGGGGCGGAATGTCACTTCGGGGAACCAACCACTCATGGAGAGCACAACACAAGACAAATATCCCTTCACGCACGTGGCAGACGCACGTGGCAGACGCACGTGGCACACGCGCGGGGACTGTGAGGCGACCACGCAGGAGGAATTCACGGCAGTCGCTCCTGTAGCACACAACCGGCCTTCCGCACATACCAAAGGGGCCCGCTCGTAGCCACTGCCCCAAAGGTGAAGCGCACAGACGAGACAAAGACAGGCGGTGCAGGTGACAACCCGTACCCCATAAAAAATGTTGGAGATGACGGGAAGTCACGCTTGGCGCAGCTGGCCCGAGGACTTTGGTACTGCTTTGAAACAAGCCCCATGTCCACCACCTTCTTTAATCATACACAGCGGAGTAGATATTAACACCTGTCGATTTTTTTCTCTATGAGAACATTAATGATTGAAAATTACGCCGTCTATACGTTCTTTTACCCTACACAAGTATTTAAGCACACAGAATATTTCTGTTTTTCTGGCATGAAACCATTTTACGCAGAGAGGACATGTTGCGAATACTTACCGCAGCAAGTTAGCTTGAGTATTATGTATTTTTAAATGTGCATATGTTTTTCTCTTCTGGCACAGCTGTTCAGTGAGTTTGTCAACGCTACATCATTTGACGTGCCCCTCGATGAAGAGCTAGGTCGTTCTACGCAGTTTGTGAGCTCTTCGCAGCACTTGGAAGTGGTGAGTCCATCAGGCGAGCGCTTGCTGGGCTCCTACAAGGCAAGCCTTCAAAGAAGTAAGCTCGTCATAGACAGTGCTTGGGTGAGTGCCAATCGCTTGTTTCCTGTGGTATTTGCTCTTTGTGTGCGAAAACGCAAATTAGTCAGGTCCAATGTACAACGAGAATCGACGTTATGCGTATCATGTGGAGAGAAAGTGGCTGTGCTGAACTTTTTATTGAGCGAGACGTTATGAAAACGACGCTAAAGCTGTGCACAAATGTTGCACGCACTGAGATGTGGAAGAGTCGCATAATTTCTATGCAACCAGTTCTTTAGAGTGGCGTAAAAATACTGACAGCAACGTGGTCATTAAATACACCAGAAACAGTAGACTAATATGTAGCACACATTTCGGCTTCACGAAGAAACACGGACAAAGGGGAGCACACAAGACGGGTGCAATTTCAGCTGTAAAACAGAACGCCAAAGCCTCTCGACATGAATAGATATCAGCGTGACACGTGCTCGTAAATCAAAACAAAAATATTGGGCAAATCCCACGTATCAGGGAATCAAATTTATGCGAAACACGTGGAGGAAAGGTGACCATGTTGCACTTTTTTATTGGGTGACACATCATGAAATGGCGCTAAATATATGAACACATGTTCCGCGCAGAGATATATGTTGAAAAGTTGATGTTATATAACCAGTTTTGCGCTCACACAAAGATGTCAGCTGGAAATATTTTTTAGCAACACCAGAAGCTGATATGAAGCGCTGATGCTCGCGAAGATGCTGGCCCTTCACACTGCTACTTAAATCCATTACAACGCATAGCACTTCACCACAATCGACGTTATCTCGACGTGACGGCTGTATGAAAGGAGAACATATGTAATGCTTATATAATTGAATAGCCAGCACATCCACCACTATTGATGTTTCACGAAGATTAGCGTCTATTTGAAAAGTAGTTCCGAGACCTGGCTTAGCTCAGTGGTAGAATGCTTGACCCCACGCAGAATGTTTGGGTTGGATTTCTGCAGGGACCCTGAAATTTATTATTTCCATTCGTCGGGTGGTCAACGCTGCCTATTTCAGGTTTTTCTTAACACTGACATGTATTCTATACCATCGTTTGACAACAGTGTTTTGAAGACGATAGTCTTTCTTGGGGACCTTCGGCGCAGAAATTTTGGTCTGTCTGTCTGTCTGTCTGTCTGTCTGTCTGTCTGTCTGTCTGTCGATCTGTCTGTACATTTCTCTGTTTGTCCACTCTTAACGGCACCGAGTACTTGAAGCAGCCGACCCCATCTGCAGCGCCAACCATCGTTGCTCAAGATTTAGCGTTCATACTTGTGCCGTTGCCAATTAAAAAGCAATTATTGCGCACGCCTGGGCCCCATAACAACTTTGTATGTATTCTTCATGTGCGCCTTTTACTACAAAAAGCATACATAAGTAATCTAAAGGACGGTAACGCTTATCACACTGCGCTGACCATGCCACGCTTGCACGAAAAGGTGAGTGTTTCCAACGCTTTGCTAAGACTAAGTGGTGGTGGCACCTATCTTTCGCATTGTGTTCTACACCTTATCACCTCTGAGACGGGCGCGCACACCCGTATAAGAGCCACGCGCTATGTTTTCCAAAAAACCTGCCAGATGGTGATCATGTCTAAAGTGTGACGTGACTTGATGCACTCGTTCGCCTCCGCTGCACGCTCGAGGCGCCTCCACAGTGCCTCCAGAGTACAATTCACCGAATTTCTCACGCAGAACATCAAATAAATGTTTTCTTCACTCTCTCCACACGCAAGACGTCTTTCGACGACATTTGCAGATAACATGCAGATACGAGACCATTTTTTTCCTGGATTTTTTCTTTCTTGCGTTTTCATATATATAGATACGTATACATATACGATGCATGACACCGACGCCGACGCCGATGGCAAGATCCAGCCGAAAGTGTTCACATAAGTGCTATCGCAATAAAACCAGCGCCACTGTATACCAGAGTCTAGCGCCATGCCTGATTATGGGCCCAGTATGGCGCAGGTACTGGACGCTGGAGCAGGCACCTTCCCAGTACTCTTCGCAAAATGGCTTCACAGGGTTAAAACGGGAGTGCCCGTTCACCATAAATAAATATATTGCAAGATACTTCTTTTACTTGGCGAGACTCTGCCCCGCAACACAGGTCATACTGATGATGTTGAGTATGTACATATGATAAGATGACACGTATGAAAAATGCCCACACTTCTCTTCCTCCCACGCGTGAGCGGCCAGCCCGGATGCATCTTAGACGGAAACGGAACGTCGAACAAATGGCTTCAGACGCGATACATGGACAATCTCCGAACCACGACCGCTACGATCCGAAGAAAGGTCGGTCGGAGTGACGCAATAGTTCACCCGGGACGTTTGTTAATTAATTGTATAGGGTCCAATTAAGCATGACTGAAACTTGTCACACAATCCTGGGGTATGAATGAGCGTCCAAAGCAACACTTCATCTCCCGGACGGAAGGAGACGTTGCGATGAAAGCTGTCGTAGCGTTGCTTGCGAACTTGCTGTTCGGCTTCTGTATTAAGGTGAGCCCGTTGCCGACATTCCTCGAGCATTGTTATGAACTGCTCTGATACGGTTGCCGAGGCGTCAGTTGGCACAATTAGGAAAGAGACGTCGATGGTGAATGTCGGTGAACGGCCGTACATGATGTGGAAAGGCGAGTAGCCAGTAGTTTTTGAACAGCGATGTTATGGGCAAACGTCACAAAATGCGAAATCCTATCCCAATTGCGATGGTTTGGTGCGATGTACATAGACAGCATGTCTGTTAGTGTCCGATGAAATCTCTCTCTCAGCCCATTAGTTCGGGGGTGGTAGGCTGACGTCGTCTTATGTACTGTGCCACAAGTGGTAAGTAACGTTTCTAGGGGGCACGACACCGGTTCCGGAATGGAGCGCTTAACCTGTCTGCTCTTACAGGCTTTCCTGCTGATTTCTACTCCAGACGTGCTGCCTGAGCCGCCTTTCTGTTGCGGCGTCCACTTCATGCTCCGTGGAAATACAGTGCATTCGACGATACCGCCAGGAGTGGATAATCATCAGTTCCTACACCAGCAACCATGGTCATCGACTACGATAATCAACGCCACTATCTTCGGGGGAGGCACCGCATATAAGCATTTTCCCGAAGAGGCTTGCTTGGGGCACGACACCGTTCCGGAATGGAGCGCTTACCCTGTCTGCTCTTACAGGCTTTCCTGCTGATTTCTACTCCAGCAGTGCTGCCTGATGCCGCCTTTCTGTGCGGCGTCACTTCATGCTCCGTGGAAATACCAGTGCATTCGACGATACCGCCAGGAGTGGATAATCATCAGTTCCTACACCAGCAACCATGGTCATCGACTACGATAATCAACGCCACTATCTTCGGGGGAGGCACCGCATATAAGCATTTTCCCGAAGAGGCTTGCTTGGGGCACGACACCGGTTCCGGAATGGAGCGCTTACCCTGTCTGCTCTTACAGGCTTTCCTGCTGATTTCTACTCCAGACGTGCTGCCTGATGCCGCCTTTCTGTGCGGCGTCACTTCATGCTCCGTGGAAATACCAGTGCATTCGACGATACCGCCAGGAGTGGATAATCATCAGTTCCTACACCAGCAACCATGGTCATCGACTACGATAATCAACGCCACTATCTTCGGGGGAGGCACCGCATATAAGCATTTTCCCGAAGAGGCTTGCTTGGGGCACGACACCGGTTCCGGAATGGAGCGCTTACCCTGTCTGCTCTTACAGGCTTTCCTGCTGATTTCTACTCCAGACGTGCTGCCTGATGCCGCCTTTCTGTGCGGCGTCACTTCATGCTCCGTGGAAATACCAGTGCATTCGACGATACCGCCAGGAGTGGATAATCATCAGTTCCTACACCAGCAACCATGGTCATCGACTACGATAATCAACGCCACTATCTTCGGGGGAGGCACCGCATATAAGCATTTTCCCGAAGAGGCTTGCTTGGGGCACGACACCGGTTCCGGAATGGAGCGCTTACCCTGTCTGCTCTTACAGGTTAGTTATTTAGACCGCTCTTGCTGTCCCCGCAGCAGCAATCGTTGCTTTCTTATGGTGTCGTGCCCAAGTGAACTGTTCCTTATGTTTGAACGCTGTAAGAATTGGTTTCGCATGTATACCAATAGCCTGCTTTTATTGCTATCCGGTGACGTTGAATCTAATCCCGGTCCTAACACAAACGAAGTTCTAACTACCGTCCTGGCCACTGTCCAGAGGATAGATTCCAGACAAGAAGAAATACTGAATGATCTGCGCGCCCTGAAACTTTGGCAGACATCTGTTGATGACGAACTAAAGCAGATATCCTCCCGGATGCATGCCGTGGAGGTGGACGTTATGGCTTTAAAGCAAAATGATGGTTCATCGACTTCCTTGTCACAAATTTCCGGCGTCAACATATGCGAAAAAATAAAGGCTATTGAATCGCGATGTGAAGATGCCGAGAACAGGTTACGACGTTCTAACCTGCTTTTCTTTGGCCTACCTGACGAACCGTCTGAGTCCTGGTTCTCATCCGAACAGAAAGTTATTCAATTATGTTCGGAGCACCTTGGCATAACACTTCAATCCTCGCAAGTTGAAAGAGCCCACAGGCTTGGAAGATACAACTCTGATAAGTGCAGACCGATCATCACAAAGTTCGCTTTCTTTAAAGACAAGCACAGCATCATGGAAATGGGCCACAAACTGAAGGGCACGCTCTTTGCCATCCGTGAGGATTTTGCTCCGCAAACACGGTTTGCTAGGAAAAAGTTGTTAGAATTTGGAAAAGCTAAAAACGTGCCTTTCAAGCTTTCAGTCGATAAACTGCGAATCGATAACGTTACTTACGTGTACGACGCAATCAATGACAAAATAACACCTGCATCGCAATAGCTCGCGCGTAGGTCGGCTACGCACACACTTGCAAACAATTTCCTGCCACATGCTGATCCCATTCCGTACAAGAACTTCACTTTATCATACACCAACATACGCAGTATTATTTCAAAGCGTACTGAGTTGTG